ACACACCATGAACAGCATGCTACAATAAACAGACACAATGGATTGCATGAAGGATTTTGCATGAAAGGAAACTGAGGCTTTCTTGAGAAGAATTGCTTTTTGGCTACAGTCAGTGTTCAGATTATACATGCACTGTTTGTACTCTTTGCAGATTACTACTAATACCATGAAGACAATGTGTAGTAAAGACTGTAATGGCTTGTCCATGTTGCCTGTACATTTCTGTATTAAAGAGGACCACATAAGTTCACGAGTAAATGTAGTATTAGTGTAAACTTCTGAGAATGCAAAGGCGGTATGAAAGGGAAACTCAGTGTGTAGTATGTTTCAGCGAAATGTGCAAATGTATTTTGATTTACCATCAATATACCTTTCTAAATCTGGTTAACCTTGCATTAAATTATCTTTGTCTTCTGATAACAGATTTGTTTTCGTTAAAGGAATCTATAACATGTCAGTGTATATATTTGTACCATAACGAAGAGACCACAAAGATATTTTGTGAGACATCTGGGTGTCAGTCAAACACGCTGATCCTTTGATTCTGACGCCAAAGGATTTTGCACTTTATTTCCGTTGTTCCTTGTATTTGAATTGTTTGTGGTTGTTTAAATGAATTGAGATACAAATTAAATATAATATTTCTAATTGTGGCTTACCAGTTTTTTGAATGGAGCTTTATTTGTACAGACATGAAATGAGAAGGAAGCTTATAATCATATGCAACTCAACTAATGCATGTAACGTATAACTAAATGATGAGAAAAAAAAGAAAATATTAAAAAAGAATAACTATAATGATGATTTATTATTGTTAGTTATTGCGCCCTCAGCTGCTACCTTTCGGTACAACAACAGGGGAAAAATCCAAAGCAACATTCAAGATAACTAGAAACGTTACAAAAGGTTGAGGTTCATGAATGAGAGCATTGCCCCAAACAATTACGGTGGTTTATTTTAGTAGTTTTTAAACCTAAATTACTCCACTAAATAACTATCATTACTATTTTTTAAAAACCGTTTAATATTCTGGCAATTTACGTAACATTAACTAACTGAGCTGAAGAGCTGAAGTCCTGAACGCGACTCGTGAGTCATTGGATGTTTACATTACGATGGTGACCGTAGGTGAGTGGTTAAAAGCACAATTCCTCTCTCAAATCATGATATTTGGCACATTTTCTTATTTATTTTGATTCCGAAAATATATATCTACGTATCCGCTTCCTCTTGAGCACGTATAACGCTTAACTAACCAAAATAAAGCTACCTTTTTAAAGAGCTAATGCTAGGGAAGTAACGTTAAGCTAATGACCACCAGTATTTTCCATGGTGTTTATAGCACAGGTGCTAACTGCGCTACTCTTGTGGTTTATCGGGTCGTGGCTTGGTCATGGACACCTGTCGTTCAACACAACTAGTAGCATATCTGACCAGGGTGTGAAGCCACAGGGAAGATTGTATATGACTGTTCTATGTTGCAGTGGAGCTGCTGAGTCTCCTGCTGGTGTCCGTGCTGTGGGGCTGCACCAACCCCTTCCTGAAGAGAGGCACTGAGGGGATTGAACATGTCCAACACAGCAACAGAGTCTCACAGCTGCTGGCTGAGGTCAAGTTTCTTTTCCTAAACCTCAAGGTAAACACCCTTATATCCATTCATTGTTTGCCACTGTGAAAGGATTGCTTTTCCTTACAATTAGTTACATTGCACTTTGTTCCATGTGTTGCTCCACAGTACCTGGTCCCCTTTCTCCTGAACCAGAGTGGCTCTTTGGTGTACTATTACACACTCTCCACCACAGGTGAGACACACATCACTGTCTGAAGGTGGACTAACTGATAATTACCTTTTTAAAGCTGACATTTCAACGATAAGATAAGATAGTGCTTTATTGATCCCAATTTGGGACTTGTTTGCGTTGCAGCAGCATAAAAAGACATGGCATTGTACAATCAAAAAGCTATCACGAAGAGCACAGGTGTTGCTAATAAAATTAACGATAGCTGAGTTGTTCCATTACGTTTGCCAGTAAAGCACTCCATTTAGTTGGCAAGCACAATACTAAAGGCTTGGAAGTGGCTAAAGCAAAGCAATCATCATTATTGTTATTTCTCACACCTGTGCTTCTCTTCAGCCAATAAGGTGCTTTTCCTGCCTGCCTGCCCTCCCAGAAGTCACACACATAATAATGATATTTGTAAACTAATATAAATTGTTCTTTTATTTCAACCTGCTTTCAGCCAGTGAGAACAATTCTTCAGCCCACCTTATTTATGAAGACTAGGCATCTTTCACAGCAGACAAGTAGAAATGCACAGGTGTAACTAATATTAATAATAATGGCATAATAATGTAACATGTAATGTGATAGTTCCCAGTAAGCTTTGATAGTGAGTCGGAAAGCTCAATAATACCTAAAACAGCAAATGATACTGCTCGTGGTAACATGTGCAGCTTTAAATGTTAAACGGGAGGGATCATCCCTTAAGAACAATGGATAAATACAATCATCATCTATGACCTCCTGCCTTGATAATGTGCTTGTTTTTTTTTTTGTTTTTTGAGAAATAAATGTATTTCTACTGGTTTAGTTTTTTCAATATCCATTTATGAGAACATTGGTTCTTTGGGGTATTTTCCTTTTTGTTCTGAATTTACATCATCTATTTCCAGCAGGAGTCAAGCCTGCTCATTTGGCAGCAGTATACAGGACTGTCTCAGAAAATTAGAATATTGTGATAAAGTTCTTTATTTTCTGTAATGTAATTAAAAAAACAAAAATGTCATACATTCTGGATTCATTACAAATCAACTGAAATATTGCAAGCCTTTTATTATTTTAATATTGCTGATTATGGCATACAGCTTAAGAAAACTCAAATATCCTATCTCTAAATATTAGAATATCATGAAAAAGTATACTATGATATTCTAATATTTAGAGATAGGATATTTGAGTTTTCTTAAGCTGTATGCCATAATCAGCAATATTAAAATAATAAAAGGCTTGNTGTTTGAGAAATGACGTAGTTACGCCGCATGGGCGACCAAGCTCACCTAACCCCTTAGGAAAAACGTGCCCCGTCTTAGTCGGACATCCAATGTACAACGACGTTACGCCCGCCAAACCCTACACTACCTAGCGACCGCTCCACGAAGCTTATCCGTTAAAGGTTCTGACACCGCAGCGAAATCGAGCCTAACTACGTACAATCCGGAGGACCCACGAAACATTATCGGAAAGCGAACCGAAGAAGTGTTATTGTAAGGTGTTATAAAGAACCCGGTAACATACACCACAGACCCAAGTCCAGTAACAGCACGCTAAACGTGTCGGCAGGATGTAAGGGAAGGGCTTCCTAATGTGGGGGCAGTAACGGATATTTACCCCCAGCAAAGTTCCATGCTAGGGTCGTCAAATGACCACTTACGCCCGGATAGTACCGGCCTGTCCTGACAACTCCGGGTCTCAGGCGGTCTAGTACGAACCCTTTACTTTTGGGTCAATTTGATACACCAAAAGGAGTAGACGCGTGAACACCGCCTCCGAAAACAGCACGCCGTTGGATGCCCGATACCGGTACATCACGCAGTTTTAGAAAAAGGAGAGAAAAAGGTACCATGCCTGTCGAAAAGTGTCCGGGCTCCAATTGAGAACCCTCGGAACACAGTACTCACGGAATGGTATTATCACCTGGATGGTAAGCTCCGTCTGTCCGGAACCTGGTACCAGAAGGGAGGGATTCTCGCGTGAGACGACACTCGACATCCGCGGTGTTGAACAGTGGTGGAATGGTGACCCACTTATAACGAGTTCTGTTTTTGTGAGACTAGGCCCATCATTTAAAACGACACGCGCCGCAAGAGGTCGGAAAAATGTAGGACCGTAGACCGCGTGTAACTGTAAGGTTCTACTATGAGATGTATTTCGCAGAAAGAGAGGTCCTTGAACCCAGCGGACTTCTTTTCTCTGATAGCCAATGGGTGACACGTTGTAACTAGTTATGTATTGCACAACGAGAAAGAAAAAGAGAAGCCAGATACTGTTGGTTCCAAGTTCGAAACACCTGCTCGAACGACTCGGAGAAGGCAACCAGGAAAGTAACTCAAAGTCATTGCAACCAGTGAGAGAACTGGGTACCAGCCCTCCCTTTTGCTTTAGTAGACCCAGATAAAATCGAACCAATGTTCTCATAAATGGATATTGAAAAAACTAAACCAGTAGAAATACATTTATTTCTCAAAAAACAAAAAAAACAAGCACATTATCAAGGCAGGTTAAGGGATGATCCCTCCCGTTTAACATTTAAATCTGCACATGTTACCACGAGCAGTATCATTTGCTGTTTTAGGTATTATTGAGCTTTCCGACTCACTATCAAAGCTTACTGGGANTCCCAACCAAGTACTGAGTGCATTAATGGACATTTTCAAATGTTTGATTGTGTTTTGTTGTTATAAATCTTTTTTTTTTACATGGTCTGAGGAACTATTCTAATTTTTTGAGATAGGATTTTTGAGTTTTCTTAAGCTGTATGCCATAATCAGCAATATTAAAATAATAAAAGGCTTGCAATATTTCAGTTGATTTGTAATGAATCCAGAATGTATGACATTTTTGTTTTTTTAATTGCATTACAGAAAATAAAGAACTTTATCACAATATTCTAATTTTCTGAGACAGTCCTGTATATACAAGTATATATCTATATGATAAATGTTCTTCTCCACTTCTCCTCCCCAGAGATTTCGCTGGCTGTTCCTGTGGCCAACTCTCTTACCTTCCTCTGCACTCTGCTCACCGGCAAGTTTCTGGGTGAAGAGTTTGGAGGCAAACGTAAGGGACTTTATTTTCATACACAAGCTAGCTTTCAAGTACCAGGGCAGTTAAACATTGAGTAATACTGATGCAGGCACATCTGGGATACTTCAAGCTTTAGGAGGAAAAATGTGGCTTCAAAACAAATTCAGAGCGGTTACATAAGCAAGACACAAGACATTTTTTATAGCATTTTATGGAGCAGTTAATTCCCTCCTCTGCCTGAAAAAAATACAGTACTGGTTGTGCTCTGTCTTTTTAAATGTGTTTTTTTCACTTTCATTTTTCTTTCATATCCTCCCCACTCCTCACTCTCTGCAGAGGCTGTCGCGGGAATGTTCCTCACCACAGCTGGCATCACGCTGTGTGTTATAAGCTCCATTAATGACACAGACACTGTGAAGCAGAATATGACCCAGGAACTCTAACAGGGATGAGGATTAAATACAAACTCCCATACCTTCAAGTGGTTCCTTTGCAGGGAAGGAAAGGCCAAAGCAGATTTGGGGCGGGACTAGAGGGGGCAATTAAGATTCTGACAGCGACTCCTTAGAGCAACGGCTCTGGTGGGAGAATGGTGCCTAAATGAATTCAGTGTGAGCTTCAAAAAACCTGCCCAGAAGCTTTTACGCCAAGTTTAAGGGGAATTGGGTGCATGTGGGGTTCAACTCAAGGATAGACTAGATTTATGGGGCTTGCATACAAGTTGGTGGTTGTTAACTTTTACGTTTAAGTACTCTGCTGCCCCGCTATGTGACTGGCATCTGCATAAATGCTATAGAGACCAAACAGAAATAAGGCTGGGTTTTGAAAATGAACCAATTAGATCTAACCTTTTCGTTTAACGGGGACATTTTACTGCAGACTCCTTCTGTTTGGGAAAGAGCAGGACACAGGAGAGAACAAATGGCTGTTTTGCCCGAGGATAAGACGATTATTCATTTACTTATTTTCTGGCTGTCTTGACTCTTGTTTACATAATGTATCACTGAGTTAGATAAAATAATGGTTTTGTTGTTTTATAGCGAGTTACCTTGTTGTATGCTGCGCGATATGTCTGAAGTATTTCCGAAACAACAGTGATGTACATAGTAATATATTTAGTTTTTATTGTTACAGTATTTTATTGACAAAAGATTCTGTACAGAATGTGGCTGGTATTCTATTAATAAATTGTTGGCAAAACATAATTTTTTGTCTGAATCACTGACTGAGTCTTAAAATATCCCAAAAATATTGTTTCTTATGTACATTTTGAATATGGAATATAATGCGTCCCCGAACACCTAGACAGTTTATGAATCATTCCTGTAAAACAGATTCACAACAATATAATATAACACTAACTTTATGAAGGGGATAATGTCAGAATAGCGTTGTTTTGTCAGATTCTGGATTGTACTAGAACTAAAGAGTGTTTAAATCTCCTGAGTTATTTGTTCTTATTTTGCATGCCTGTTCACATTTTGGACTTTGTTCTAAAATAAAACATCAATTCAAGTTGTCGCTTGGCTCCTTAACACTTTTTTAAAGTACTACAAATGTAATCAAACATTCATTGGAGCACATCTGGTCATCATAGAAACAGCCGCTGGCTCGTCAGCTGTAGTTAAACCTCTTTGATGAATTCACCAGGACTCCTGATGATGGTTGTGTTCTGTTGTATTGACGGGGCAACCTGTGGGCTCTCCTGTTAGAGGATATAACGGAAACAGTGTTAGAGGAAAAGCAATGAAGCATTTTAATACACTTTGAGGTGGGTAGACTCACCTTTTCTTCCCTGCTCTCTACCTGAGATGTGTTTGACGAAGGCCTTGACTTCAAAGACGTCTGCTGCCTTTCAGGATCCTGAAATTAGACACACATTGAATGCTGAAAAATGTCTGTGTCCCTTTACTACTGAACATAAGCAGTACAGTCTGTCATCCCAGAATTTCATCATACTCCATGGTCCTTGCATACTATTCTGTTGTTTCACACCATTTGTTGAGATGTTACCGTGTTACAGGTTAAACATATCATATTCTGAACCCATTTACACAGAAACTGAACCTCTTAATATCAGCACCCGTGTGTTGTGTAATTGTAACCGCCCACTCATATGTCCTATACTGTACCTGCTTTCCCATCATTTGTGAAAGTCTCTTGAGAAAAAAGGGTTTATGTGTTTTTGTTCCCAAATGCAGAATCCAGTGTCATTTGTTCATCACGCATATTTAAATTGGCAACTGTGTAGAATACAAAAAAGGTCACGGTAATGTATAAATACATAAATTAATTTATTTCCCATCATCCACCTCTTTTCTAAATCATACCCAGTCTGTAAATGTGAAGGACATTGTTTTTCCACATTTCTCCAATGATACAGGAAGCTAACAGATGAGCATGAACAATGCCTACCTGCTGAGTGTTGTCTAGAGGAGCGTTTTGTTCCTCATCCTCCACTATCTCTGCTACTCTCTTTGGAAAGAGAATGAGAGACAGATTAAGAGTTAGCTCTGCTTTAAACAAACATGAAGAAAGAAAAAAATGTTAATGTGTAAAGCTGACCTGGTCAACAGGAAGCTCTGTAGCTGTGTTTTCGTCCTCGTGCACCTCCTCGGCCCCTCGTGCCTCCTCTCTTCTCCTCCGTGCTGCTCTCTTCAACAGGCTGGGCTGGACTGTGACAGACAGACATCAAAAAGCTGCTGCTGTGATCAACAGAACATTTATTATACGCATGCCTACTCCTGGACCCATCGACCTGATACTTCTTTCTGCTCAGTTGTGTTCAAGGACAGCTTGTTGTTGGGCTGAGTCTCTCTTTTGAATATAAAAAATGGTATTGACTGTTTTGTTTGCTGACTCCTCATAACCGGCTAGTGGGCAATGAACAACTGCTTTAGTAGCAAAAAAAACCTTACCTTGGCTGCTGTAGGCCACATTTGGTTTTTTGACAGGGCTCAAACACCAACATCCATAGAAACACTGTTTTAGGCACATGGTAGCTATGTGACAACGATTAACATGATGAACAGATTAGCTAATCAGAACAAAACATTTGATACTGCTATGAACCGGTATTCCTGCATCTTGTGACTGTGCAACACCCTCTTCTTGTATAAGCACGTGAAGGACGCTGTTCTGGGAACTAGTTGTATCATATAGCTCTGTTTGTGATGACTACTTCCATTCTTGCAAGCATAATAAATACATGTATCCTGATATTGAAGCTCAAGCCGGTGACCAGTGATATTTTTCCAACACTTATAATCAGTTAAATTCATCACCACATGAGATGAATAAATCCCACATTTACTTGTCTTTGTCGCTATATTGAGGGAGGTAAGAGAGAGATCCAGCAGGAGGACATCTGCATTTTAAAAAGTTCGCCTTTCTAGTTCAAATGAGGAACACTAAATTCAGTTTAAAGTTTAAAGTTGGGGTTTCTAACCAGATCCGTTGCTGAGTGGGGGTCTGGGCTGTCCTCTGTTGTTGCGGATCTTGACGGGCCTGGAGAAGAAGGCAGACGTCTCCTCTCTCCTGCTCTGCTCTGCTGGAGCTGCAGCTTCATCTCCTGTGGACTTCACCCTGCGACCATCTGACTGAAATTCATGGGATGCAACTGACTAAATATAATTTCATTTATAGGCAAAATAAAAATACTCTCTGCACAGTTTGTCTCGCTGGGGTATTGAACGTGTTAGGAATAATACACAAAACAAATTAGCACTCCCTATATAGCTCTTGTGGTGCGAATTATTGACCGATTTGTACCTCTGGGGAGTCGAGGAGGGCTGAGTCACTGTACTGATCCTCTGGACCACTTCCTGCTTTCCTGTTCTGAGAGAAACACACAAACACATACAGCTGTCACTCACACCTGACATGTGAACATAAGGGAAGACAAACAATGCTTAGACTGTATGTTAAGACTTAAAGGTATGGTGAATAAACTGCATATAATTAAAGGTACCTCATTTCTCCTTAACAGCCTTCTCTTTCCTTGGTAATATCTGCAAAATAAAGAAAACAATGCCTTAAATGTTTAAAAAACAAGTCTTGTCTGACAATCAACTTTTTATTTATGGAGCAGAACAGACATATTTACACACACCCACAGAGGACCTTGTACCTCTCTGTAGCTTTTGAAACCAACAGCTCCACATATGGAAGTTTCTTGAACCTCTCAGTTCCCACGGCAACATAGCAGTGGCCAGTCTCCAGTTCCACGGCTGACGACAAAGTCGCTCCTTCCAGAGAGCACAACCTGATAAAGCACCCGGGTCACAGGGAGGTTTTTATTCTATTTATTCTCGTCTATTTTTGTTCCACACGTGTATTTAATGGGTTTCCTGTCACTGACCTGCGCACAGCTCCGGTTCTTAAGCTGACCTTCTCAGTGACCAGACTCAGGATCTGCTCCAGGTCCTGCTGCATGCTCCGAGGAATGATGAACCGGAATGGTGGACAAAGCAAGTCTCCATTTCGGAAAACGCTGAACAGAGAACACAGGGTTTCTTAAGGTCCTAATGTTAAGTCAAAGTAAAAGATGGGAAACATCTTCAGCCAAAGCTATGAGACTATGATTCTGAATTAGATAAATCAAGGGGTATCTTTCAAAGTAACAGTCTTTTACTTTTTGTTTCCCTGGACAAATAAAAACATTTACACAAGTTATTACAACTCATTCTGAGAAGGAGCCACCGTCAAATTGTTAGTTACCTATTTCCTCAAAAGAAACATTATTTATTTTATGTAGTTTATCAAACTCACTGTATAATGCATGGTAGAGGTATAAACTTTCTCCATTTGGCTGAAACATTGAGCCTCTGGGATGCTTTGGCCTGCAGAAGACAAGAAAATCAGATAGTTGATACTGCAAACTCAGCGATATTGAAAATTCCTCTTAAATCATGTACTGTATATCCTGCACATCCATCATAGAAAAAAATATTTATCCTTAACCTGTAATGGCTCACTAACTATTCTGCTCAAGTGGCGCAGCAAATGAATCCAACATCACTGCGAGATGTCTTAAGAGTCACATTCATATTGTGATCTGAGGGTTCCTCTCAAAGCCCATTTTGTCCCATATTTCAATTTTGTCCCATATTTTAATTAACTCTTTAGTCGATATCCATGTCTGCCTCTGATATGTAGCTGGACTAAATCAATCCACTAAGAACAACCCAGACATTGATAATCTCCCGTTATTGTTTTTACTTTGAAGAGAGAGACGTTTGATGCATTTACATTGTCTCAGAGCAGAGAATAAGGAGGCATGGGGCGGTGAATTGTGGGTAATATAGGCCTGTCCAGACACGCACACAGCCCTGATAACACTACGTGAAAGCACCACTCTTTGTTTCACCAGCTGGATCAAACACAACTCACATACAGACACACTTCCTGCATTGCTCCACAGCAACCACAACACAGGCATGTAAGACTTTAAAACCTAAGCACTCTCGCTTTCCAAATGGCAGTCACCCAAGGCACATACAATCGGTCTCCACTCCTTTTATGTTTTTCAGAAAAGTAACACTGATGGTTTGAGACTGAGAGCACACTTAAAAAAAGGGGGTCATACTGTACATGCCAAGGGGTCAGAATACAAAGCAAGCACTCCTCAGCATGTGTGAACGTGTTTGAAATGAATTTTGTTTGGATTTTAAGAGAGCTTCCCACCATCACTGAAGAAAACAGATTTCAGATTCACTAGACAACGGTTATAAAATCTGATTTACTTCAGACTTTCTGCTCTTTGGCGACATCCAACTGTAACTACACGTGTCACATTGGAGCTTTTACAGGGCGCCCCACAAGGCCTGAGGGACATGTAAATGACAGTTAAGTCATCAGACCATTGTATCCGGTAATTTACATGACAACCACACGGACATCGAGGGGACGGTAAACGCAAAGGGTGGCTCTAATCAAACTAATGCCAACAAAACAATGTGTCGTCAAATGTAAAGGCAAATCTTACTAATGGAAATTCCCGAGACCTTTCCTGTCTGATATCAGGCAAGGAAAATCCTGCCGTCATTATCATATTGGCTTTGGCACAATATCAACTAGAAAAGGTTGGATTTGAGTACAGTGCCAGGGGGTGCATTCTTCCTGGTTAAACTGGAATTAATCAGTGATGGAGTGGGCCTTCAAAGCAAAACGCCCACACATCAAAATAAAAGCCTACCTGGGTTTCTTCACGGCCAGCAGGCTGCTTTTTCGTTCTTGCGGTCAGGTAACTATGCATTAAAACAAAAGATATAACGAAGAAAATCCTTTTAAAACCTTTTCTCACACAAAAGGTATGTTAGAATGGATTATTAATTCATTTCCTTTCATTTTAGACACAGAAAGCCTCTAGAACTGCACACTAATATCAGCATAGTAAATGTTTTTTGTACTTACTCAAGTTTTTTGAACCGTTCAAAGCCAGCAGCAACATACTTGGCTCCTGTCTGAAGATCCTGGAGGTCTGAGACCCTGTGCCCCTGCCTGGGCGTGTAGAGGGTCCTGACGGCCAAGGGGGCCCCGATGCTCCGGGTCACTTCAGTCAGAAAGGCCTCCATGCTGGCCACCTGTCGCTGGTTGACCACAAACCTGCGTCCACTGTAGAAAGGGTCTCCATTCTTATAGACCACCACGCTCTTCACTGGAGGCAGGAGAGCCGTGGCTGCTATGCTGGCAGCCATCTGAGCCAGGTGCTGATAGTCCACACACACATTTTTTAAAAAGGTGTTATTTAAACCACTAACACCACATCGTTCTCTCCACATACATGTCATTTCACTCACTTAGCCTATAATTGCATTTACTGACCATCTTCATACACCAGGTACATTTACATAACACATTCTTTGAATCACACTTGAATAAAAACCATGTTCAGTCACTACCTCCTGTTGAACGATGAAGCGAGGAAAGGCTTGAATCGGAGGCGAAAGGTGGAAATCCTTCCCTTCTGTTGTTGTGATCCGTCTGGACTCCCACTCATCACGTTCTACTCTCTCTATCCCCCCTAGCACACACGCACAAATTCACACACTACTCCACTGACGGCGGTGAGTATTTCCTGGTTGCTATGGCAGCGTGGCCAGCAATGACCGGCTTTGTGGGCCAAACCATCGGCAGCAACCACAACAAAAGGGGACAGACAGATGAGAGAAGGGGTGGGTCGCTGTGTTGTTGTAAGCTGAATCAATAAGATAACTTCTACACCCACTTGTCTGTATTTTCCCCCCAAAACATATTTGCCAAATATCAATATGTATATTGGCATAAGCTGGCAATTATGGTGACAAAACCATTACGGAAATGTGACCTTTTAAACATGACATTTGATCTAAAAACAAGGACCTTTTTTGGAAGCAGGACAATGTAATTTTGACTTTTAAAAGCTGAGTTCTCTTTAATGATATTAATACCTTAAGACTAGAGCAGCTTAATAGGAGACAGTTGTGTGCAGAACTCCTATGTGATGCGTGAGAGCTCATTCATTGTGATCTAAATGGGGAATTTGAGCTTCTGTGAGTCACAACCAACTTGTTTTGAGCCAGCGATCGCCCTGACCTGGATTGAGTTAACCTTTTCCTACACAACAGTAACTACCTCACCCAGTCACAAATTATGTCACGAGACCGATATGAGCAGTGGCAACAACAGCAGAAAGTAGACTTTTTAGAAAAATACAGTTTCATCTTTATTTTTAAACATAGCAAATAAAATATACACAATGTACAGATCTACGAAAAAGGAGTTAATTCCATGGATGACAATTTATATCCGGTGTCTTTGCATTTGAGTAAAATAATATCGTGACAGCGATCAGTCCAGTTCAGATTACTTCTGCCTTCAAGATACGCTCAGCCCATCCTTGAGTGACAAGTACTGTAGAGGAGAAGGAAGAGAGGGAAAAAACAATCATTAAAAGTTCATTCTTCTGACCCGTTACACCTCAGGTGAACTGAATCCCATGCATGAGTAAATCCTGCTGGTCTGGGTTCAGCTGCAGTTTACATTTGGTGTTGCTTTTGCACATTCCTCCACATCTTGACACCTTTACACCCTCTGGAGCTGCAGGGTGCTACATGGGGGCAGTGGTGCAGGTTTGGTGAAGACAGCAATTTGTTAATAGATACATTACGGGATTAGATTAGTACACAGGCTGGCTGCAAAGGTGGCAGAAAGCTAGATAAGCTAAAAACATTATTGCAGATGCACGCAGATAATAAGGAGATTGGATTATAGGAAGAACATGATGCTGAAGGATGCTCTGTGCTGCTTTACTGCTATCAGGACATGTTGATTGTGTTCAATAGGTAACACTGTGATTATTATTTAGGTATTAATATCTACAATATTGGTTTAAGTATTTCTTCTAGAAATAATGCATCTTTGACCCAATTTACTGACTTACTTCTGAGGTCAGTTATTAAATGTTGTTTGTCATTTTCTTACAGCAGGAGACTGCCACCAATTCATAAATGTATTGAAACGCCACATCCCTCCCTTCCTTCAAATTACCTTTTTCCTGCTGTCAATGGCCTGTTGGAGCCAGACCAGCTCCATGGTCATGGTGTTTCTATGGAGACGCAAGGCCTGTTGGGTGGGGGGCACTTCCTGAGCCAAGCTGAACTGTCGGGGACCTGGAGGAAAGGTGAGCGATAAGGCATTAACTCCACAGGAATCACATCCGCTGGCAACCACTGTTACATGCGTTTTCTACATGTTTTGTGTTTATTCTTCTCTTTCGTTTAAAAGCTCACATTTTGATCAGATTAAATAAGTGTTATGCATTTGATCACTGACATGCTGTTTTTTTTTAAGTTATTTAAAAAAAGATGAAAAGGTCCCTTTCTTAAGTTATTACTGTTAAACACATTATAATAAGTGTAGAGTGTCATCCTCCCTCAATCGCTCTTCACTGTCTAAATTCAGCTATGCTATCATTAAAAAAGGAATAAAGGCCAAACATTTTCTTTTAAAATACAAAACTATAATAATATTCGAAGCAAACCATAGCCGATATGTTCCATAATCAACTGAATATATATATTTTGTATACAGATATTAATGTCTGCAGTGCTGTGAGAGGAACTACTTTTGTTATGTTAGCAGCCGTCACCTTTGTGAGAATGACCCTCGTTGTTGTCCAGCTCCAAACTGCTCCAGACGGTGGTGGAGTCTCCATCTTTCTCCCCCTCAGTGCTTCCTTTCTGTCCCTCTCCATCCTCTCTAACATTACTGCTGAGGGAACAGTCCTCAGAGGGAGAAGCCTGTCTTTTGGTTTGTGAATCATCTCGCTCTGCTTCTATCTTCTCAAGCAGGACATGATGGTCTCCTTTCTCCTCTGGTAAGGGTGCTGAAGACGATGATGACGATGACAGTAATGATAGGCTCTGGGTACTGACACAGACATCTGGTCCAGGAGTTGAAGATTTTCTGCTAGAGCTGCGGTGTCGTAGGAATGGGCACTCCTGGTAATGCATGAGAACAGAGGTACAATTTATTTATATTATTTAATCAAGAACTGTACTTCAGTACAATATGACTATATTTTTACTATATTTGAGTTTTTTATTTGTATGCCACTTTCTACTTGTGAGGAAGTAGATTTGAGCAATATATAGGCCATTGTGACATTCCACATTATTTTCACATACAAAACAATCAATCGATTAATTGAGAAATGATCAGTAGTAATCCATAATGAATTAATAATTGTTTGCTGTTAATATAAAGAAAGAACCTTTCTTTTTAAAGATAGCTACAGATTTTATTGCTCCACCTCTCACTACTCTTTTTAACCTCTCTCTCAGCTCAAACACAATTCCAAAATTGTGGAAGTCAGCTTATGTCCTGCCTTTACTAAAAGGAGGGTAGGCCACTTTATTAAATAATTATAGGCCCATCTCTAAATTATCAGCTCTGGCTAAGGTTCTTGAACGCCTAGTGAGTGAACAGGTAAAGGTGTTTTTATGTACAAATGACATCCTGTCTAAACATCAGTCAGGCTTCAGAAAGCAACATAGCACCATCACTGCCACAATGAATATGTGGCGAGTATTTTAGATAATAAGCAGAGTTGTGCAGCTCTATTTATTGACCTGTCCAAAGCATTTGATACCGTCGATCATCGCATCTTAAAGCAGAGGCTACTCAGTATTGGCATATCCAGCCATGCAGTGGGGTGGTTTCTGAACTACCTCGCTGAAAGGTCCCAATGTGTTCATTTTGATGGGCTGTCTTCTGAGTGGTTAAACATTACTAATGGTGTTCCTCAAGGTTCTGTTTTAAGTCCACTTTTATTCTCCATCTACATCAATAGTTTAGGTGAAAATGTCGATGGAGCAACCTTACATTTTTATGCGGACGATACCGTGATGTACTGTGCAGGTCCCTCCATTAAGGAGGCTGTTGTTAAATTGCAAGCTGTTTTTAACATTATTCAGACTCAGCTCTCTGAGCTTAAGCTTCTTTTAAAATGTTGATAAAATCAAGGTAATGCTCTTTTCAAAAGCTAAAAAGACACCAAGACCACTTTGGATATTGTAACTACGCAAGGAATAAAACTTGAAGTGGTTACCTGTTACAAATACCTAGGTATCTGGCTTGATGACTGTCTCTCTTTTAAACTTCATGTCAATAACCTGCTTAAAAAACTGAGGGTTAGACTAGG